AGATGACCTGTTGCTTTCTAATACAACTGGTGTTCTGTATTGAGACTTGTTTACGTCAGCAGTCAGTTACGCCATTCCTTAGTGGTGCACTCCCTCCTAAGTAAAATCCTGGATCCGCCCCTGAGGTCTCTTCATATACTCTCGTCTAAACCGAGCTAAACCGTACTCCTCTCCTACCTCGGAAATTTGCCTCGCATTAACAAATTCAGATTCATATTAAACGAGAAACGCTCGTGCATTTCGTTTCCTTTAAAATAGGAAAATACAATTTTTATATTGACAATTCTCTGACACCCCCGAGGGTAGAGCCTCCTTTTGTCTTCTTGAGTGAGGGGGAGAAAGGGAGGCTCTGCCAGTATCAAGTCACACCTTTGAGGTCGCCGCGGCCCGAACATTCTCGACTTGTCAATCTTGTTTTCTCGCATCAAACTGAGTGCGAGCATCCGTTTATTGATAGCGATAATCATAACTGAGCCCGCTGTACTAATTGCACGGCTATTAGACCTGGGGTCGAAACTATATCCTAGCAACATTAAACATTTTACTCGATTCATGCAGAGTCTTTCTCGAGTACGCCGAAAGCGAGCAAGTGAAAGAAAGACTCTGCTGTCAGGGTACGTGATTCTCTGAGCACTAGTTAGTCACTAGTTAGTTCCTATAAAGAAATATGGAAAGAATTCAAGGCCTCTAACTGTAGCAAGAATTAGTTACCCTACGTATTATTTGTTTATTTGTTATATTTTTGCTTCAAATTGATGTTGTAAATATTTAGTAACCTTGTTTTTGTTATAATTATGCATGATACTTTAGAGAACGAAAGAAAAGATTGTAGCTGTTACACTTCGATTTGATTGCTTAATTCGCGAATTTATCAGTCATCGCTTCAATTTCTTGTTGTATTTGACGCAGGATAAGAGTTTTGGAGAAAAATGTCTGTCACAATAGTTGGATTCAAGCGAAATGGACAATTAAAAACTTCAGCGTACCCACAAGTTTAAAGAGTAGTATGTAGTGGGTGATTCGTCTGCTTTGTTACCAAAATCCTTTTTCTTATTTTCTCCGGGGCCACGTCTTATTCCAATCCCGTGGTCTGCTCCTGAGCACCCATCACCTCCTGCGCCGATCATCATCATAGCCCGGTTAGAATGCTTACCGCCAGCTCCAGATTTTTTATGTACATGTTTGCACCAAAACCCGATTTTATTGCCAGTCTGAAGGTTAGCCGGTGAGCATCCGTTTTTTTTTGCCTGCTCAAATCCGTCAGTCTCACTGTACTGGCCTCCATATGAAACGTTGCAACTACTCACACACTTATCATCAATGAGATATCCACTACGATGGCCGCCATATCTCGTGTGCATTTTAGCTCTAAATGTCTGATTGCCCAGGCAGTCATCTGTTGTCTGTAACAGGGCAGTGTAAGGATCATCACTACGTGTAATCATAAACTCGTTGCCGCCGACCAGCCAGAACGCAGGAGAGATCATGTCTTTGCTGTCAATTGGATCAGTTGTATTTCCTTCACCATCTTTTTTGTCATTCCACCAGTTGCTGCTCCGCTTCCACTGTTCTTCATCATCGTTTGAGACACGGGCAATGAGAGTCCAACCTTGGCCCTCTTTCATAAGGCAATATACCTGCAAATTAAAGCAAAATAAAAATCGCAGCTTTTAAGACGTATTTCTATTTACTATTTTCAATTGATGTTATTCCATTCTTCTTTTTCGTATATTTCAGTGTTAGATAAGGTCGCAGTGAGCCAAAAATCTGGTTATTTTATGTTTATTTAAACATGCTCCTGATAAAGAAAAAATTCAACCACGACTGATATTAAAGGCTAAAGGCCTTTTCATATGAGCCCGGTTTGCCTCTATAAGGGCTTCTTCATATATCATGAGCCTGGTTGACTGGGCAGGCCCGCTTTCCGAGATCTCTCTTTAGTCTGAATCCTTTGCAAAATTTTCGTTGTGTTCATATGAGAGGGCGAGCTGGCTCGGTTCCCGAGATCTCGGTTTTTCCAACCGGGATCTTGGCAAGCGGGCTGGAAAATTCTACCATATGGACACTTCAGCCTGGATACCGGGATGAAGGCGGGATGAATTATTCGAATGAATTCTGCATCGTCTTGCTTTGCCTGCTGTATTTTCCACATTTCAAGCATCTCATTTAACTGCAGTTATACAACTACAAGAGTTGTCAAAGCTACGATAGGCGCGAAAGATATAACTTAATTTGTGTTTCGCCATGTTTGCTTTCATTGTTTCTCGAATTTGCGCCACATCTCGTCTTCGGCCTTTTCTCATTTCGGCAACCGGGCTGAAATCTCTCATATGAACCCAAGGTGAAATTTTTCCCGGTAAGAGGGCTAGCCCGGTTAACCGGGCTCATGTGAAGAGGCCTTAGAGTGTGGGCTGGCTCGTTTCCAGGGATCTCGGTATGCGGGATGGAAAATTTTGCCATATGATCGCTTTAGCCCGGTTACCGGGATGAAAGCGGGATGAGTTCGACGGCCCGGATGACATCGTGTTGCTTTGCCTACTGTATTTTACACATCATAAGCATCCCATTTAACTGCAGTGATACAGCTATAAGAATTGCCAAGGATACCCTTTAGGGTAGATTTACAAGCAAGCGCGAGATTTAGTTGGTTTTTCCTAGCAGTTGACAAAAAGTGAAGATTTGTGAATTGAACTGAAAACGGAGGGACAATTCAGTTAATGTAAGGAGATGTTTATCGAGATCTTTTCATCTTTGAGCGAATTTCTCATGGCGGTGTTTGGCTTTTCTTTTCATCCAATCAACCTACCTATTTAATTGCTTGTAACCCATGTTGAAGAGAAAAAGGAGCGAGCCCGATTTCGACGCGTGAATAAAGATGAATTGTTTGACAACTGAAATCTAAGTAATGAGTTCACAAGAGCCGCGAACTGACAACAACATCGACGTCTGACCCGACAGACGATCTTAAATTAATTTAGGTTGACCCAAATTAGAAATTGTTTCGTTCGTCTCAAGAAGAGTTCGACGTTTGGCCTAGGCCTAATCTCTCACTCAAAAAAAATGTTGCTGAAGCCTGAAAACAGGGAACCCCTCACCTGCTTATGGGCGGAGCCTCCCCTTAAAGGCCATCATAGGGAGTATCCCCCTTCCCTCGAAGACTGAATTTGGAAACCAGCATTAGATTATATTCTAAGAAGACAAAGTGATCGTTCGATATAAATTAATGAAAATACTAATCTAATTACTCGCACTGAATATTGCTCTTCGTATTAATGATTTGTATGTTTTAGACTATTTTTAATTCATTCTTAACTATTTCTCATTATTAAATACCCGGTAAATACTACAAACACTTTAATGTGGTCGTCAAAGATAGTTATCAGGAGATATTTTTCAGATTTATTCGGTTCCCTGTCAGAAGATAATTAACAGTTAATGAATGAGGCTGAGTATCTTATGAAGAATTATGAGATCGAGGAGGGTGTTATCCGTCGAGGCCGTAGGCCGAGGCGGATAACACCCTCCGAGATCTCCATAATTCTTCATATGATACGAAAGCCGAATTCAATAACTGTTTTATTATTCATTCAAAATAATTCCTAGTTTAAAAACATAGCTAAAACATGCTCAGCTCTATCGATCCATCGATGTTCAGTTGATCTTCGATAGTGTACGTTCAGGTTTGTCCAGCTCCGCAAATATTCTCCAAATAGCAGATCTCGCCCTTGGAGTTGTCTTCTTGCTGTTCTTGCCATGTTTTTAGCTATTTTTTAGCCTAGTTCTTACTCTTGAAACGAGTGAAATGTCCGCCATTTTTTCAAGTTCACAACGAAAACAACTCAACCTCGTCCCCAGGTCTTCTCGGTTAACGGTGCCTTAACCTGCGAAAACGCTGCATTTTTGACGTCATTTCCTCGTTAAAGTCAAAATTCCTCCAAATTAGGTCATCAGTAACTGGTTATGTTGAATTAAACGTGTGCTTTTAGCCAATCAGAATCGGGGAAATATTTTGAATGAATAATAAGTTGTGTTAGTTGTATTTTGGATTCAGTGAACGGCCGATTGTACGCCTTTCTCAAATTCATTTCCACATGATAGCTACCAGATGGGTACCAGATTTTGGAGTGGTAGACCAAGGTTCAATTTGCGGCTGGACCAACACTTAGCGTCTTAAAATAACTGAGGAGAAGGTATTACCTTTCTGTCACGTCTGTAAGTGGTTAAGCCTTCAAGTCCTCTCAGGAGTAGCCTACGAAAACAGCCGTCTTTCTTCGCTCCTCGCCACAAGGGACGTTTCGCCAGAGGGGACGTCTGCACCTCAGCCACAGAAATTCCATACTCATGATGTAAATCAATGTTTACGTACTAAATCCGGTAGTCATGGGGTTCCAAATTAAAAGTCTTCGATTTTATATTTCTCCTGATCGATTATGGTAAAGTTTTGTGTTCTCCGGTGAACTAGCTCCAACAAAACTCAAATGCTTCTTCTAAAAAAGAATATGTTAAACGAAGATTGACTGTTTTGTACTAGATTCATCGCGTTTTCGTTTCACCTTTGTGACCGTTTGTCTGTTGTCTGTCGTTCGTAAACAATAGCAAAAGCAACTTAACTGATACGTTGAGCAATCAGAGCTCCTGACCAGATTCCAGATAAATCTTACTTCATCAGTATGGAGTTGATTTCGCTGAGGCGCAGACGTTCCTCCTAGCGAAACGTCCCTAATGGTGAGGAACGAGGAGAAGCGGCTGTTTCCGCAGACTATCTATCTCAGCAGGCGAAATCGAAGGCCCCATCTCATTGTGCTTTCACTCCATGATCTTACTCTCGTGTATCGGAAATGAACTACGGGGAAGGTAACAATTTCTGGCATTGACTACCCCTAGTCAGTCTGACTCCTGGCAAAACTTTAGTTGGGCCACTCTCTCGTATTGGTCTTTTAGTACTGTTGCCTTTTGTTTATGGAACGGTTACTGAATCGAAAACCTTAAAAAAATCACTTACCGAGAATCTTTTGGAGCCAACAGCTATTTCGTGAGTTCCATTAGTTGCATTTGGGTTTGACTGTAGAAATTTACTACAGGATTCTGCTTCTGGAAAAACAGGGAGAAACAAACCTTTATTTAAATCAGGAGACTCATTCCTTTTTGTTTAGATTCAACACATAAGGCGCATAAAAACATAACACGGGAAAATGACCCTTTATTGAAGTTATTGCCGCCTGTCAAGTGCTATTGGTCTTTCGTCGGTAAGACTGCAACGGACTTGGACGGCTAGCGCTCAGATGGTACATGATACCACTAATGCTGTTTCACAGGTATCCTGCTCAAGACTCATAAGTAAGACCAATTTCTGTTAAGCACTCTCTCGAAGAAGCCCACCTCCAGTCTCCATCAAGGCTCCCTTCAAAGTGAAGGAGTGTTAATGACGATACGATAATGAGGTATGAAAATTAATAACATGCTCGGGCTATCAAAATACCACATGACTCCTGAACATTTCTATGTTATAGAATTATTGGCAACTGACTCATAGAAATGAAGAGCTATATTACTTGATTAACATTTTTTCATCGGATAATCTCAATTTAGCTGAATTTCGTTTGATGGAGTTTCGTGAGACGTCATAGTTACTACCGTATCATTTCAAGAATAAGCTCCGGGAGTAAGCCCCCGGATAACATTTTACTGTAAGGCCTTAAACCTAGAAGGCTTTCTTAATGGGGGGACATTTGCGTTTCAATATCGTTTCGAATTAAAATAGGAGGGAAACGCCGGTTATTGGTCTGTCAATGATTTTTCAATTTGAGAACGATAGATATTAGACGTTGACTTAAAATCAATGAGCAATGAATTTTTTTAAATGCCATAAACGGTAACATGACTACGACAACCGTCAGTAGGGTCCGCAACACAAAGAAACCGGTCAAACCGGCAATCAATCTATGAATTGCGAGCCACTGCTTTATATTGAGTAAACTTAGTATAATTAAAAATCACACCTTATTTAATATTGGACTGTAAATGCGGTGACTCAAAGTTTATAGAAACCGATGTGGTACGGTCCCGCAAAGTTGCCATATTTTACAGACAATTCACACCCCCACCTCTGTTTTCGCGTAACTCTGACAGAGCACTCTCGCACTTAGCAAGTTTACCAATTCAGCAGTTTCAATAAAAATAGATCATCAAAATCCTGGAGTTAACTCACCTACTTTCAGGTAGCCTCCTCCATTTTCCGAGGTAGTTGTGGGGGGTGGGCTGGTAGGAGGTTCTGGGGGAGCTGTGGGGGGTGGGCAGGTAGTAGGTTCCGAGGGAGGTGGGGGGGGTGGGCTGGGAGTAGGTTCGGAGGGGGTTGTGGGGGGTGGGCGGGAAGTAGGGTCTGAGGTAGGTGGGGGGGGGGGGCGGGACGGAGGTTCGGGGGGCGCGCTGGGGGGTGGGGTGGGGGTGGG